CCTCTAACTCCAACTTTAGAGATCTGAGGCCTGGCCTCCCTGGGCACTGCACTAATACACACACACACACACACACACACACACACACACACACACATACACACACACACACACACTGCATTAATAATTTTTAAAATGAAACAGTTAAGTAAATAATCTTTTTTAAAAGGAGAAAAGAAAAGACATATGTGGGAAAGGAACCTGGCTAGAGGAGGCAGAAGTGGAAGCTATCATCAGAGAGACTCAAGGTGTGAGAAGAATTCAGCTCACCAGTGTTAGTGCTGAAGATGGAGAGGATCAGAGCAAAAACACAGAAACCCTCTAGAAACTGAGACTAATGCCTGGCCAATAGCCAACATGATAATGGAGAGTTAAGTGCAAACACACGAAGCTGAATGTGGCCACAACCTGAGTGGGTATGAATGCAGACTACACACAACCTCAGAAAAGCACCCAAGCCAGCCAACACCCAGATTCTTGCCTATAATAAGAGTTGGAGCAAAGAACAAACACTACCATGCTTTGAAAAACAATCAGTTAAAGTAACAAATGACAGAACCCAGGGCCTTGCACTTGCTAGGCAAATGCTCTACCACTGAGCTAAATCCCCAACCCAGCATTCTCTTTATAGTGAGAAGAACAGTGTTCCTACAAAATTCTTACTCATTTAAAACCTCAAAATGAGACCTTATTAGGAAAGAGTCTCTCCCCACACACACACCTTTCTCTCTCACCCTCTGTGTGTATGTTTTTGTGTATATTTAACATGGGAACCCGATGAGGACATCAGGTGTCTTGCTCTCTCTCTTTTCTGCCTTATTCCTGTTGCAGAATATTATTTTAAGGTGTGTTACTTTTGTTTATGTTGCATTTGTTTAATTCTGTGAACCTGTGTTACTGTGCCTGTCTAAAACACCTGATGGTCTAATAAAGAACTGAGTGGCCAACAGCAAGGCAGGAGAAAGGATAGATAGGGCTGGCAGGCAGAGAGAATAAATAGAAGGAGAATTCTGGGAATAGAGGAGGAAAAGAGATAGAGGAGTGAAAAGAGGAAGATCTAGGAGCCAGAAAAGGAGGAGGACTCCAGGGGCCATCCACCCAGCTGCACAGCAAACCATGGAGTAAGAAACAAAGAAAGGTATACTGGAATAGAAAAGGAAAAGCCCGGTAGCCAAAGATACATAGGATAATTT